TAACGGGCTCCCCAGAAGTATAAGGCAAATGCTCTCCAGGTACTTAGCTTTGGCTAATAGACTCAGTTCAGACAGCATGTAAAACAGTCCATTTAAAGGACAAGGCAGTCAGAAAGGGACCCATAAGCATTGTACAGTGCCGAGACCGGTTTGGCTCAATGGATAGAGCTTGGGGACTGAAGGGACCCGTGTTCAATTCCGGTCAAGGGCATGTATCTTGGTTGCGGGCATATCCCCAGTAGGGGGTGTGCAAGAGGCAGCTGATCGATGACTCTCTCTCATCGATGTTTCTAACTATCTCTCTCCCTTCCACTCTGTACAAAATCAATAAAATATATTAAAAAGGAAAAAAAAAACATAAGCATTGTACAGTATCACTGGGAATAAAAAAGATGGAAAAAATTATACATAATAGAAATATGTGGCCCCGGCCAGTGTTGTTCAGTTGGTTGGGCATTGTCCCATGTACCAAAAGGTCCGATTCTTGGTCAGGACACATGCCCGGGTTGTAAGCTCAATCCCTTGGCGGGTGGGAGGGCTGCAGGCACCAGCCAATTGATGTTCCACACTCACATCAATGTTTCTCTTCCTCTTGAAATCTCAATTTAAAAATATTTTTTAAAAGAAATATATGTGGTTAGGGGGGAAAAAACAAACGAACACCTTCAGTCTGCTGGGCACCCATTATTCAGGTAATTACTTTTATTCTGATTAGCTTCCTAGGATAGGGGTTGAGACTTCTGAAGGGCATGCAGAACTGCTGAGCGAGGCCTGCTTGTTAGGGCCAGAGCAGCACATTAGGTTTGGGCCCGGAGATGAACCACTGTGGTCCACAAAGGAGGTGCAGCCTCACTGCAGGCTACCATGATTGGTGCTTCTTCCCCCAAGTCCTACAATACTGTCTTTCTAAATAAATGTTTTAGTTATCCCTACCTCCTCACTGGCAGGCCAGAGAGAGCTTACACTCCTGACTTAGGGGAAAAAAAGCACCAAATCATTCATCTGCCCTCCTGGTGCCGTCTCAGTCCATTTTTGATGTCAGAAGGCAAACACTATGTGGAGTTATGTTATTTTCTGATTAGAAGGGCTGCAGATGCCCAGGTAAGGGATATTAAGATAATGTGATCAGGGAAGGCTTCAAGAAGATGGGAATTGGGTGTGTGTGCTCTGTATTTGTGAAAGGAATAAAAGTAATTAACTGAATGAAGGGCACCCAGCAGACTGAAGACTGTGCTCCTTGGGCACCCACCTCTCCCTCATGCACTTATATTCTGTGAAGGGTGGAAGGACAATCTCCGGAAATCAAGCAGTGGATGTTACTCCTCAGCTGAAAATAGAGAAAAATTAGCAGCTATGAGTACTCCCATCAGGATAAGACTGACCTGGGCCTTAAACTTTAACCTTGAACCTTGACTGATTTCTATTCCAAGCAGCATTGTGGCCCTCACGCTTCAGAATCTTAAGAGTTTGACGAGACTCTAAACATCTGGTCCAACCCCTCACAACTGGAATGATCCCTACTCTACCCGATTAGCAGAGAGGCAGCTCACATGAATATTTCCTCAAGCTTTATTTTCTAGCTCAAAGTTCACTAGTTTCTCTTTTCTATCTCCCAGAGGATACATGTGTAAGTTCTCCCTTAATGTGTGACCAGCATGACTTCCCATGCTCTTATGTTCCTCCCCACCTCCAAAGCTAGGAATGGTAGTTATGGGCTCTTAATAGAACAGATGTTAGGAGTTAGCACAGGTGAAGTAAGGCTCTGGATGGTAAGGAACTGGGCTGAATCTTAATTGTCCTTCCCAAAATTTTAGGATGAATTTTAAGCTCTCCCTAGATTGTTTTAGGGAAATATGGCAACTTTGTCACAAGCTTATCAGGCAGCCTGATACCTTTCACCTCCTCTTCCAATTCTCTTGGTATGTGAAGTCACAGGGTGAAAGTGTCATATACCACTTCACCTTGACCCATGCAGGTGCAGCAAGGGAGAAGACAAAGCCCTAGTGTCAGTCATTTCTCTCAAACTGGGAGGCATTTTTGAGAGCTGGAGGGATCGCCGAGGAGAAAGACCAGAGGCTGAGACAGCAAAAAAACACTGGGCTCTTGTATTAACCCCCTCCCTCTCCCCACTAGAGCCTTTTATGAGCACATAAAGCCAGGTGGTGATGGATAGGCTATCGGATGGGGTTGTTGGAAGTGCTCTTCCAGGTTGTTTCCATCCCAAGATCACTAAAACCTGAGCCTAATATTGCTAGGAACAGTGGGTAGTGTGATTACAGGGGCTAAAGAGAAGTTGATAGAGAAGTGTGAAGCATTTCATAGATATAGAGTTCATTTACACAAAGTCTCCAGGTTGGATGAGGAAAATGTACTTACATTCAACCCTTAAACAGGACCCAGAGGCAACAATGGGTCCCAGATGACAAATGGGATAGAACTAACCTCAGTTTCAGGCCATGTTATTTCAAATGGGCTGGAATGGGCTGGCTTTCGCTGTACAGGGCCCAGGAGGGACTGCTGGGCTATGGTTGCTGCTGAAGGCTTGATGTCTGGCACCCACAGCTTATCATACCTCAAACATTCCTTTTTTAGGGGAGGTAGTTGGCTATGAGCACTGAGCCCAGGAGAAAGAGAAAAATAGGAGAAAAGCAATAGGCTTATTTACTTTAAAGGTTAAACAAAATATTGGAAACATGCCGTTGGCCATGGAATACAGGAATGTCTTTTTCCCCCTGGTCATCAAAGCCCACCCTCAGATGAAGGCAAAAGTTACCAAACGTGGGTCCTGCTCTTGTTGACGAGCCGTCTGGAAAGAACAGCCCACTCTAAGTCTATATTTAGGTCCCAATGAGCCATTTAGGCTACTACCTAGGTCTCAGCTCAGCTCACTCCTACCATGAAGGGTGGTCTCAGCATCACTAACTCCTACCTGTATAAAACTGCATTGGTCAGAAAAGGGGGTCAAGTTCAGACAGACTCAACAATATCTGATGTATTTTTCATAGTGCTTTTGTTGCACGTTTCATTTTCTGCTATACATGGCAATAAATATTTGTTGCTTTGGTCTGTACAAAAAGCCTGTGAGGAAGGTAAAACAGATGTAATCTAAACAAACAATAAATACAGAAAACTACCTTGTTCCAGGTCCCCCGGAAATAGCGAGAGCGCCTGAAAAACTCAGGTCTTCTGACTCATAGTCCAAATCTATACCATATTGCCATGTTTCAAGTTGTCACTTAAACACATAAGTACCAGAGTCAATGTTCAGGAGTCCTGCAAAGAGGCTGCATGCCATTGCTTTCTTAGAGAGAATGTGGAAGGTTCCAGCAACTCATATATAGGAAGCTGTTTATTTCCTATAGAAAACACCCCTCCCCCCAAAAAAAGGAAGAAAAGAAAAACAAACAAAAGGTAGTTACCCCCCCCCAAAAAAAAAAAAAAAAAAAAAGGCAGGCAGTTATGAAAAGGGTAGAACATCTAGTTGCTGGAGTGGAAACAGTAACATTCAGTTAACAATGGAATATTTTTTTAAAAAAAGAGTTTTCAAATTGTAACCTGTGGTAAAACATAGAAAAATGTACTAAACAAGCTTGGTATAAAAGAGAGTAAAATTTTCAAATAAGCCTAGGGAGAAAGCACAATGCTGGAAGGGACGAGGTACAAGGTAAGAGGAGAAAATATTTCGTACAAAACTACCTATTACAATACAGAAAAAAGTATATAAAACGTTCCTATTTTGGAACTTGAGTACAAAAATGACACTGGCATTGGATCGTTTCACTAACTAGCCTGAGAAATTCTCAGAGGGGATGGGTGGTGCTAAAAAGAACAAAAGGGATAGTAGTTCTTCAATCTCAAGTTGATCAGCCCAAATTCCACCTATTTTCCAGTTGAAAAATCTCACCTCCCTCTGTAACCTCTATCCATAAGCCAACGTTTATCCAGGTCTCAAAATATTCTGTTAGGAAGTCCACAAACACCCTTCACATAGGGGCTGGGATCTGTGCGTGCTGGAACTAAATTTGGAAAATGGAAATAAATCTACAGGCTGAAATGATGAACACATTCAGCCTTTAAAAAAAAAAAAAGCATATCCCTGGGAAATATATATATATATATTAAATTCTCTGTGGTTAGAAACATATTTAAACTAACTAGCCACAGACCAAACCAGACTTGCATTCATCCAATCCTGGAATTTTATGCTAAAGACTGAGGTCCTTCTTCTTGGTCAGAAGTAGGCGGCAGTAAAGTGGTGCCTTGTTGCTCCACTAACCATTCCCTGGGTGGGTCTTCCCCGTATCATGTGTTGTGAGCACATGCAAACCCCTGCTTTTAAGAAAAGGACTGCCGGGACTTTGGGGTCCACCCAGGGCTCATATGTTGTGCCTCAGGAGGGAGGAAGCTACAAATAGAACAGCCTGGTACAGAAGCAGACAGATTTTACAATGGGGCATATAAATAGGAAAAGTCCTAGAGGAGGGACTTAGGCATGTGCCCCAAGTCCAGTTTACAGTCACTTTCCTGATGAAACATCTTGAAAACTATGTGTTATGTATGTGTGCGTGCATATGCTGGTGGTTTTTATCCCTATGTTTTTGTCCATGCCCTTTCCTACCTCTTAGTAAGGCCTAACAACAAGAGTTTTATATGAAACCAAGAGTCTTTCCAAGCTTCTCTCAGCCCCTACTTAGGGACCAAGTGAGGCTGGAGCCCTTTGAAAACAAGATGGCAGAACTGAAGAAGTGAAAAACAGTCTCTCTCTTCAGCTTAGGGATGTCCCTCACCCCTTTCACAGCACCAAAGTTTCTTTGCAAAAATAGTATCTGAGATACAAAAGGAAAGGCAGATGTGCTTGTGAATGCATCTTGTCAGGGCCTGGTCCGGGACCAAGGGCTTTACAAGAACAGAGGGCTGGGAGTGGCTGTTTCCAAGGTCTCTGGCTGTAGACAACGAAGAGCTGGTCCCACAACGTCCATGCCTGCTCACTGAGACAGTCTTCACAAGAGCTTTCGGTGGAGAATCTCCCAGACCATCCGCTTCCGGAAGTATGGCATGTGTTGCTGTAGGGACACAGAGACTCCCTTCATTTTCATTTCTTTAATCCCGACCCAACACTCTTTTCCCCATATTCCTTTCCTCCTTGAGATTTTCAACTTAGTCTGTTTCATTTTTGGTCTTTCAAATTTCTCATTCTTGATTACATGTTATTCTTTTTCCTTTCCATTGCTTTTTCCTATTGCTATCTCTACTGCTATTTTCTTTCTTTTTTTAAAATATATTTTTTATTGATTTCAGAGAGGGAGAAATAGAAACATCAATGATGAGAGAGAATCACTGATCAGCTGCCTCCTGCATGCCCTCTACTGGGGATTGGACCCAAAACCTGGGCATATGTCCTAACATGGAAGTGAACCATGACCTCCTGGTTCAGATGTCAATACTCAACCACTGAATCACACCGACCAGGAATCCACTACTATTTTCCATTGTGGTGTCCTCAGAAGTTTTATTGGGCATTGCCAGGTATCCCCCAGCTATATCTCAATGTCTCCATAATTCTGAGAATGTCTATCAAGTCCTCTACATTGAAATCTTGAGGATGTAAGATCTGAGGCCTGAAAATCTGGAAGTCACTTTTTAGAGGAAGAATTATGAGAACTGCAAGTGTCAAGGGCTATGATGGAAAAATCCAGTAAAGATATTAATTCAAACAGAAATAAAAGGTTAGTTTAGGTTAGCAAAACTTGAGTGCTAAAAAAGTATAGAGAAACTTGTGCTCTGAAAATGTGTCTGGTCCCAATTCTCTGTTTTTTACAGGCTTTGAAGTAGGTGGGGGAGATGGGCAGAGAAGAAGGCTCTGCTTTTGCCCAGGATTCTTTGAATTCAATATGTGATATATGGGGACCCAGGATGTGATCTATTATTATTATTATTCTTTGTTTTATGATGTGGCAAGCAGTAACCACCTGTGTTATAAGCTACAGGCCGAAGCAGAGCCCCTTAAGCAGAGCAGGTAGAGAAAAAACACCTAGCGGGCACATGGAGACAGGGTGGACAGAAAGCTCCCTTCCCCGAGGCCTCAGCTCACCTGTGTGAAGTTGATTGGTCTGTCTTTGGTAATGCAGTCAGCATATTTGCAGGCAAACATCCCACAATCACTTCCATTCATCTGCTGTGGAATTTCCTGAAAGACCAAAAACAATGAAACAGTAACATCTTTCCAAGGTTCCTCCCTTCTTGCTAGACTATAAGAACCAAAGCAGATACATTTTATAGGTTTCCCTGAATTTTGAAGAGATGACCCCCCCGGTTCCCCACTCAGAACAACACAGACTCAGAGGAAAAAATAGAGCTTCTCAGTTAGGCCTGTGGACTTCATATTAACCACATAGGAAACTACCTCAGACTTCCATGGCACCTAAGGGTGTAAAAACTGGTCCCTCCACTAGGGCCAAACAATCAGCAAACGCATCTTACAGGAGTGAAAAGCTTAGCAAAATAGCTGGGCATTTAGAAAACCTAGCTCCAAATAAGAAACACATTACCAGTTTTCCCACAAATAGCTTTCTCTATATTCCCCAAGAAACAAAACCACCAAGCTGAAGGCAGGACAGACACTAAGAAGGTCCCTGGGAATCAAACAGTGATACCCTTTCCTCCCCAACCACTCTCATGTCAGGAACTTTTATCTCATCCAGATCAAATGTACCTGGCTTTTCTTGCTGAAGAGCTGCCAGCCATTGGTGTCAAACTCTTTCCTTTTCTTGTCAATGCTCTCCTGCTTTAGGTATTGTCTAAAGGTATCAGGAGAGAAGGAGATGAGCTGTGGAGAACATGAGTGACCGCTGCCACCCAAAGAATGGAGCAGACAATCCTTAGGTGTTTTCATAAGTGCTTCTGAGAAAAACAGTATATAATATTGGGTGGGGTATCTTTACACTGCTCACCCTCCTTTGGGACTCCCACAATTCATGCCTACCCTGTCAACCCAAGAGAAACATGATGCTTCTCTGATACCCAGGTTCCTTCTATCTACTATTCCTCCTGAGGAATGAGTTTTGACTTGTTTCCTTGATTTATATGGTCCTTTAAAATTCAATCTAATGGAAGAAGAATGTTTCTCTAGCAATATCAAACTATTTATTTACTTTTTTAAGTCTTGAGTCTCCTGTGCAAAAATTCAATCCAAGCCAACAATCTGTTGCGTATACACCTCATGTAGAGCGTTCTTCACAAGTGCAACCTGTTCACCATTCTGGACGCTATCTACCAGAGTGGTACAGGGAGGAATAAGCATTTTGAAAAGAGACACTTAGGGTATACCAATTTGCAACCTGGTTCCCTGTTAAGCCACTATCTAGTAGGACCTGGGAAAATAAAAATTACTCTATGGGTTTGGTATCTTCATCTAAAAGGAGGTTGGATTAGATGATTTCTAAATAGTTTCTCAATCTATTTGTACATACCCACTCTATATTTTAGTGCACTAGGACAGTAATTGTCCCTATTAGAGTATGTATTTGGTATTAGTACATTATTAAACTTTACTTAGATGTAAAATATCCATTCTTACTTAATATGAGAATTTCCTTTATTTATTAGTTCACTGAAGGTATAAAATAACTGAGACCAATAGCTGGAAGACTGACACCAGACTCTTCCGTCCTCAACTCCTTACTTACAAAAGAATTCTGCAGGCTTCGTTGTTTATCCCACCCATGGAGTCGTAATAGGTAATATTCTTCTTTCTAAAGTCCACAACCTAGGAATAAAAAATAAAATAAAAAATAAATCTGTCTTTATAAAGTAAAGAAAACGGTTTTTTAGCTTTTCCCTTCCCTGGAACTTTTTGCTAGATTTCCTGTGAAATCATAACAAGTATGATTGATACTGTGCATTACACCATGCTTAATCTGCATAAGACACAAGAATACTGAACTACAGTGGGGGCTGATCAACTGCTGACCCCATTAATTGCCCTAAAACCTTTTTCTGTATTTGGGGTCCCCATCCACAATGTGGGCAACAATGAAGACACAACATGTTCTTCAGAGAATGTAAGTCCACAGTTTCCGAAAGATGATAACAGATTATGGATGTCACTTCTTTACCTGGAGAATTTCCTTTGGCTTTAGGTTTTTAAAATGTAATTCAAAAAAGACTGTGAAATAACTCTTATACTTTCATTGATACGCTAAACCATGTTCTCAGAGTCATAAAAAAATTGAATCACCAAGTATGCAAGGCCAAGTCATGATTAGGCAGAAAATAATAGCCACGGGATCTGAATTGGCAGCATCATTATGAAGCCACTTTTTATACAGATTTTGATAAACTGAGCTAAATTTTATTTTGATTCTCTTGCCTTGCAGTTTATTGATATCCTTAAACAGAGTTCCAAAATTGTCAAACATGATCTGAGTACAAGAGAAGGAAATAAAGAATTTAACTAACTAACTAACTAACTAACTAACTAACTAAACTAAATAAATAATTCCTCTGCAGGAATCCCTGTACAGGAAGAAATTCTTTTTGTTTAGGAAAATACCTTAATGACACATGCAGCTTTTAAAAGATGGGATAGAGCCTGAAAAGACAGATGCAGAGGAGAAATTACTGAATTGCTCTGCAAAACAGAGGATGGGAGTGTAAAAATTCAAAGTCACCTTTTCTTCCCATGCTTTTGCATTGAGGCTGCTCAGACTTATAATTCCTTTTTAAGTATTTCCAGAAAAGGAAATTCCACGGCTTTCTTCAAAGTCTAAGTACCTCTCACTCTTGACAGAAAGTTCACTGATCTATCCAGTTTCTAGCCAACTAAATACTACTGTTCTCTCAATCATCCAGTGAAGACACAGAACTAATACTCACTATTCTCTGTGTATTCTATAATTATATAAATTCCTTTAAAATTTTACCCAAAACAAATGGGTACTCACAGCAAGACACCAGTGCACTCCCAGGTGAATGGGCACCAAAAGGATGTCAACCGAAAATACATCCACTTTCTTTGTCCATCGTTTCACAGCCTGGTAACCAGCTGTTTTTAACTTAGTAAAAAAAAAGGTATTAAATGCATGTACACTTGGCAATCCCTTATCTTTACTTCGCTCCATCAGCATATTCATGTAGAAATTGATGATCTGTGGGAAGAAAATATATGTATGTATTATATGTATCAGGTCTTTCATAATAATTGTTGTATGAAGGAAAAGCAGTTGTTGTATTGTACAACATATGTTATTGTTTCCTAATTAATTCAATTAAGACTTTAACATGCAACAGCCTCATGGCCCTATATCAAATTCTGACTAGAAGGGAGGCTATAAACAGTGAGGTGGTTATAAACAGTGCAAACAAAAAGCTGAGATTCTGTATATAACTAGTAGCCCTGCACATGAATCTGTGCGCCAGTAGCTCACTGCTGCCCTCTAGTAGCTCTCCTCTTGCTGCCCCGCCCTCCTGTAGCTCCCCCTGCCTCCCTCTCCTTTGCCCATCCTCATAGCTTGCTGCCCTGTCCCCTTCTGTAGCTCCATGATATGGTCGTTACACAGTCAGTTGTTATGCTTCACGGTGTAACAACCATTTGCATATTACAACTTTATTATATAGGATGGAGTTGGGGATACATATGGGCAGATACTGGCCAGAATACAGGATTTGGTCAAATCTGTTAACAAGGTTAAGACCAACAATTCAATTCTTATATGTGGGTCACCTGGTTTTACACAAAGATAGGAAACTTTGGTTCAATGCTAAAGATTGTCTTTTAGCCTTTAAGCTATCTTGCAAAGACAAATTATTTTGGTTTTAAGCAGACCTGGATAACAGGATAAATCATCAATTATACTGGACAAAATACTTATAAACTGATAGTAGTTCAGCAATGTTACTTTTTATAGAGGCACACTTGAATATAGTATAAAAACCAATATAATAACATAAGGCCTGGAAGTAAAGTTACAAAGAGTAAAATTCTCCTCAGTATCTGTATGGTTAGCTTTTTAATTTTTGTTGATTTCAATTTCACCTTCGATGTCAAGTATGAATGAAAGAAATTAAAATGCTTGAACAGGAAATATGTGATTCTTTCTATTAATGAAGCAATGTGCTCTCTAATTGTGACTATGTTGTCTATGGTTCCTTGAGGTCCAGGACTCCTTGGTACTAAAGCTTGAAAGTTACTGGGCCGGAAGTTACTGCATACTTACTTTATGTGGTCAAATGAGGCCAGGCCAGTGTCTGTCAACTGCAGGAATGAATAAGCTAACTGATCCACAGTTTGGAAATATGACTAAGAAAACAGGTATGTTTTTCAGAATGCTTTTTGGGGAATGGGAAAATGCCCCAGTCCTTTGACAAATATTTACACATTAGGATGCCAGAGCAATGAGCTACTGCCCAACAGTAGGCACCTACATACTGGGCAGGCAGCAGGGACCACTGCCAGGAACACACCAGAGCATGGTCTAGACCAGAGAAAGGGTCTATAGATGAGGATGCCTAGGGAAACCACATTTGCCATGAGGCAGAACTGGGGGCAGCAGGGAGAGGGAATGACTAGGGTTGAAGAAAGACACTGTTCTGCCTACACCCAGCAGGCCCAGAGATCTTAGGTTGTGGCTAATTCTCCATCTAGTGTGATTCACAATAGATAATTGGAACTAGTTATTTTAAATAATGATAATGAATCGAGACACAATTAGGATTATAGCTTTCTCAATCTAGATTTCCTATATAACTCTGCCCCAAGGACAATGGTACTAATGATGCTTGTAGGAATGAAGGCAGGCAGGAATACAGGAGGGTCTGCCCAGCAAGCACAAATAGGCTGTAATTAGACTATAAACTACATTATCTAATGAGAGAAAACCAGCAAGAAGGGACTGATTCCTCTGGCATTCTACCCACCCCACAATATTAGCCATGTTACAACACTAAATCTTCAGTCTAAGGGGTAATGTGAATAGGCAGATGACCTACCAGTCACTGAAAGCCAACCTTCTATGGGCAGGCAAGTTATATTTTTGAGGCAATAAGAACTCAAGGGGAAGGTGGAAGGAATCAGGCAGAGATAAGGACAGCCAAGTAAATGAAAGCCATGGAGATATTTCTTCCCCAGATGCCCATAATTAGGACCTTTGGGATAATTACCTTGAAGTAAAAAAGGATGACATAAATGAATGGAAAGCTACACATGACTATCCTAATTTTTAGGAGGAAAGAATGCTACAGACCAATGATGTTTAGCTGGACTTACACTGCCCGAATTGTTTGGGTTTTTGAGTGTGTGTGTGTGTGTGTGCTTCTTTTGAAAGAGTAGACTACAGACCAACCCCTCCAAACAGAAACAAAGACCTAGTAACCTAACACTATCTGTCTTCTTTTAGAAACCCTTTTCCATTGCTTTAGCTCTGCCTCCAACCAACATTTCTCCACTGAGAGGGAAATGGCCTCCAAAGTCAGCTCATTAATTAGTTCTAAGAAGTGATGTGAGTTCTTTTTCATTTTCTTGTATCCCAGTAGGAGGGAGTGTGGTGGCCTCAATGTTCCCTCCCATTAGCTGAGAATGTATAATCTGACATCTGAGGCAGAATTTAGATTCAAGTTTCTCTCCTTGGTTTTCAGTTATTCCTCTGACCAAATGAGGAAAATTGCCATAGTTCAGCCAAGACAAAAAACAAGCTAGGAATTAGAGAACAAAAAGAATCCTACATGTCATCTCACAGAGGAGAGATGAAGATGAAGGAGAATGAAATGAGAGAAGGGATCACAGTACTTAAGATGAGAAAGAAGCAGTCATGGTCAGAGTATCTGCTTATATTTCTACATACAAGACCCTCCTAGCTCCAGAAGATCTTCAATTGCCTTTGAAACAAGGGGCTAAAAGTAGCAAGTCAGCCCTGCGTCTCCTGTTTGTCTTGCCAATATATCAACCTCTGAGGATGACAGCAGTGTTAGTCCACTCGTCACTCTTTTTGGGACCCCCAGTTGCCTCTGCTCGCTGTAGCTCCTGGTGCCTATGAAACTGCCCTTCCTGCTGCCTTCACGGCTTTGGCCATGAGCGCCTGCTTGTCTATGCAGTCCTGTTCGGGGGTGGGATGGTTGTTTATAGTGTCTTGTTCCTTTGTGATTTTATTTGAAGAGCAGCCAGGCTAAAGCCGAAAAAAAAAAAAAAAAAAAAACTTTTCTTTAAAAGAAAAGCCTACAATGTTTTCAAACTAAGGACTCAATCCTTTTCCTGTATGTTACAACAATGACATAAAATGGCCACTGCTATTTGTATCGTCCTTTTTGCCCACTAAACTAGCTATCGTTTTCTCATGCATTTCGAAGTAAAACATCTCACTAACAGTAGAACCTTAACTTTTAACCCTTTCCAATGATATTCTGAAACCCTCACATTGGCTTAGAAAAAAAATCCTAAAAGTTCAGGCATGACAGTGTTCCTGAGCAGAGATCAAGATAACTTTTATGGGAAACAAAGCTGTTTTTATAATTTACCTCTCCTAGAATTTTCACCTTGGTCTTCCCATCTTAATTTTATTTTACTTTTTTTAACTAGAGGCCTGGTGCATGAAATTCTTGCACTGGGGGGGGGGGGGATGTGACCCGACAATTGGGGAAGGCAACGCCTCTATCACACCTCTGTTGCTGCCACTGTTGGCAGCGCAAACCTCGAACAGTCCTGGTTACCTGAGTCTCGGGCAGCCCTGGGTGACTGAACAGCCGCCATCTAAGGCTAGCTCTGGGCGGCTGGGGAGCTGAGAGGACTAGGGGACTCCTAAAGCAGATTTGCAGAGCAGCTGGACCCACATAGGGGCTAGCCCAGCTGTGCTGTGCACACCTGCTGCCCCAGCGGGGCTGAGGAGACTAGGCGCTGCCATCTTGTGGCTGAGGGTGCTGCCATCTTTGAGTGTGTGGCAGTCAATTAGCATATTCCCTCCTTATTGGCTATGGATGTAGCCATATTTGTGAGGGTGCGATGGTCAATTAACATACTTCCTTTTGCCGAAACCGGTTTGGCTCAATGGATAGAGCGTCGGCTTGGGGACTGAAAGGTCCCGGGTTCGATTCCGGTCAAGGGCATGTACCTTGGTTGCGGGCATATCCCCAGTAGGGGGTGTGCAAGAGGCAGCTGATCGATGACTCTCTCTCATCTATGTTTCTAACTCTCTATCTCTCTCCCTTCCTCTCTGTACAAAATCAATAAAATATATTTTATAAAAAATAAAAAATACTTCCTTTTTATTAGATAGGATTAATCCTTATCAAAGATTATTTTTTCCATTGATTTTTAAAAAGTTGGTAGGGAGGACCCTAGCTGGTTTGGCTTAGTGCAGTGGTTGACAAACTCATTAATCAACAGAGCCAAATGTCAACAGTACAACAATTGAAATTTCTTTTGAGAGCCAAAAATCGAATTCTGCGCATGGGCCACGAAGTTTCAAATGCACTGTACGTGCATGCCTGCATGTGGTATTTTGTGCAAGAGCCACACTCAAGGGGCCAAAGAGCCAAATGTGGCTCGCAAGTCGAAGTTTGCTGACCACTTAGTAAATAGAGCACTGGCCTGCAGACTAAAGGGTCCTGGGTTTGATTCCAGCCAAGGGCACATGCCTGGGTTGTGGGCTCAATCCCCAGTAAGGGGGTGTGCAGGAGGCAGCTGATCAATGATTCTCTCTCACTGATGTTTCTCTCTCTGTCTCTCTCATTCTCTCATTTTCTCTCTGAAATCAATTTTATATATATATATATTGGGAGGGAAGGGAGAGAGAGAAACATAGATGCAAGACAGATGTATCAATTGGTTGCCTGCCACACACACCCTAACTGGGGGCTGGGGATTGACCTGCAATTCAGTTACTTGCTCTTGACTAGGATTCGAACCTGCAACCCTTCAGTGTGTGGGCCGATGCTCTAATGACTGAGCAACAGAGGCCTGGGACTATTTTGATTTTTTAATTAAACCTATTCTAGGCAACCACAAAGCTCAAAAGAGTAACCAAGCAGCAGCACCTGAATATTATGAGTCAGAAGGTCATTCACGTCTAAGATTTAACCTAATAATATTATTAAAACCAAAAGGGCAGACTTCAGGAAAAGTTCTGTGTACTGCATCCCTCATTGTGAACATGTGTCC